ATCGCTGCGCACTCCGGACCGCTGCACGAGCGCCCCAGCGCGGCCTTAGGTATGGATCCGCGACCTCCGCAGCGCCCACCACTTGATGGTGGTCACTGCGACACAGCCCGCACATGGGGTCGCGCATCCATACCTAAGGCCGCGCCAGGGCGCTGGGTGATCGCTGCGCACTCCGGACCGCTGCACGAGCGCCCCAGCGCGGCCTTAGGTATGGATCCGCGACCTCCGCAGCGCCCACCACTTGATGGTGGTCACTGCGACACAGCCCGCACATGGGGTCGCGCATCCATACCTAAGGCCGCGCCAGGGGCACTCCGGCAGCGGCTGCCGGGCAGTGCCGGGCAGTGCCCCCGGCTGGACCGGGGCCCTTCCCGGCGGGCCCGCGAAAGGCGTCGACAGACTGCGTGGGTCTCTGACACACGGTCACCGCACCCGCCACCATGCCACCCCTAGGCTCGGGCGGGTGGACGGTCCAGGACTTCCTGACCTGTCTGCGCGTCGCCGGAGACGTGGATTGGGGGAACCGTGGGGGGGGCATCAAAAAAGCCTTCAAAGCCCTGCTGGAAATTGACGAAGAGTGGAAACATGGCGCGGGACGTGAGGTCGAAGACCTCGACTGCGCCTACAAACAGTGAGAGCACTGCCTGCCGCGTGTGTCCTCGCTCGCTCCCTCCGCAGTCGGCCGACTGCCTGGTCGCGGCCGTCTGGCGACATGTCATGTTCACACGTTGTCGCAGGATGAGTAACTTCCAGGAGCGATTCGTCCTCAAGCTGGCCAAGGGCCACAAGATCGACCTTGCCGTCCAGGGGGGGACATGGTCGGAGGACGACGTGAGGCGGGTCAAAGAAGCCTGCGCGGCACTCTTCGCCAAGCAGCCCGATTGTAGCTTCTTCTTGCGGCTCAAGGAGCCGAGGAAGAGCAAGCTGCTGGGCCCCCAGGGGCTGTGGGCCAAGAAGAAGGCCAGCGACGCGCCCGCGCAGGACGAGCTGCACGCCAGGTAGATCTCCGTACCGATGGCGCCACGTCGACCCCGTCCAAAGGCGCGCATGGCACGCGGGATGGCGCAGCCCCACGGCCCGGCCCCGCCTCAACAACGCGCTGCGGCGGGGCGTGACGTCGCTTCTGCGCGACGCCCCCGCCGGCGCAATGTGCCCCCAGGCCCGAACTCACCCTGGATTCCAGAGTTTGCATCGCTCGCGGGGCGTGCCCCACCTCAGCGGCGCGCGACCCCTCACCTGCTTGCAGCGGCCCGGCGGCCACGGGCGGAGACGACGGCCCGCAGGGCGCGACGAGCGGCGACGAGGACGCCAGCAACCAGGCCCAGGCGCGCACTCTGTCGCCACGCTGTGCTCTGAGCGCTCCGAGCGGCAACGGCGTCGCGCCTGTGCAACAACGCAGGCAGTACCTACCGCTCTCTCGCACGCGTGAAGAACGAAACCGCTGGTTTTCTGACGGCGATTGATCGCAATCGCTCTCGACGCGCGCGCAGGGCGGAATGTACGGCCAGGCAGGCCCGTCCGGAGCCACGGAGGACGACCTTGATCCCGCGGCGCAGCATGCTGCTGCTGGGGCAGTGTTGGGAGCCGGCGGGTGCCCCGCCGGCGGGGACCCCGGCTGCGGCCCCCCCGGCGACGACGACGACACGTGCATAGAGCAGGGCCTGCCAGGAGCGCTGCAGACGGTCTACGCCTGCCTAAACGAGGTGCAGGCAAACTGCGACATGAGATTGAAACGGATTCATGACGAGAGTAGTTGCCCGCCGCCTGGTCGTGCGGTGAAAGCACGTAGGGTGTGTTCAGCTCCTCCAGCCTCACGGCCGACGAGGCGTATGTGACACCACAAACGCAGCCCAGCCCACCTCGGCGGCGGGCCGAGCTGTGCCCATTCGACTCGATGTCGCTGCCGCAGTTCGCGACCGTGCGAGCTGACAGGCGCGGCCGGGCTCCGCGCCGGTCCAGCGGGCTTGTCACGCAAACGTCCGCTGGCACACAGGATCGGCCTCGCATGACGCGTCCCGCTGCGGACGCGGTCAGCGTGCGCGTGCGACGCTGAGCGACCCGATGGCCATCGACACGCGGAGGTCGGCCCGCAGGCGCCCAGGTCGGTCGCAGCAGGCCGCGATGGATGGTGTCAGGTCAAACGCGAGCGGTGCGCTCTCCCGCACGCCCTCAACTCACGGCCGCCGACGCCAGGCCGCCCGCCGACTAGCTGCGAGGCTGCCTGCGCACCTGCATCGGCCGCACGACGCGTCGCAGGCGGCACCCTCGCTACGGCACACCCGACCAACGCGCAACTCACATGCACCAGGCAACGTCACGCAGCACGCGTCACGACGCCCCCGCGTCCGCCGTCCTGACGCGCGCGGGGCCGTCCCCGGGCGTCGCCTCGATCTCCGCGTCCAGCTCCTCCTCCTCCTCGATCATGTCGTCTGCAGTGACGGTGACACGCGCACGCACAGGGGGGGGGGAATGTGTCGGTGGACGGCTGCTGATGTTGGTGGAAGTGTGGCCCGGACCGAGCGGGGGCAGCAGCGAACACGCGCGCGGAACAACATCGGCGCGTCGATCGACGCCAGGCGAGCCGTGCGTGCGTGCGTGCGTGCGTGCGTGCGTGCGTGCGTGCGTGCGTGCGTGCGTGCGCGGTGGTGCCGCTCGGCGCACCTTCGTCGCCGGACGAGTCGTCCGAGTCCTTCTTGTGCAGGCGCAGGGCGTTCTTGAGCCGGTTCCCCGCGCTCTCCTGGCGCTTCTGCCCCAGCCCGAGCTGCACCTCGGCGGCCTCGAGGGCGTCGTCCACCTCGGCGGCCTGCTGCGCGGTGAGGCGGTTGGCGGTCTTCTCCTGGCGCGTCTTCTCGCGGATCTCCGCGATCTCGTCGGGCGTCAGGAAGACGAAGAACTCCTGGTTGGGCCCCGCGTAGCCGATGCGCGGGTCCTGCAGGAACTTGGTGCCGTCCTCGCCCGCGCGCACGTTCGCGTTGTCCTCCTGCGACACCGCCTTCCACACGCTGCCCAGCGCGAGCACCGTGTCCGTGCTCATCGACACCTTGACCGCCTGCTTCTTGGCCTTGTCCAGGAGCTGCTTGCGCTGCTTGCCCTTGACGTACTTGGCGGCGTTCTCCATCGCGAGCGCGCGCGACGCCCGCACCGCCAGCGGCATGTTGTGCTGCATCTGCCGCTCCGCCTCCTTCTCGTCCAGCTTCCGCCCCGCCGTCTTGATGCGCGTGATCTCGTCGATGGGGTAGTTCGACTCCACCTGGATGAACGCCTTCCGCGGCTCGCGGACGCGCGACAGCCCCGCGTCGCGCCCCTGCCGCGCGCGCTTGATGTGGTCCACGAAGCCCTCCGCGGTCGACAGCTGCGACTTGTTCGTCTCGGCGCGCGACGCGCGCCCCGTGCCCGCGCCCGCGCCGGGCGTCCCCGCCTGGAGCTGCCGCACCTCGGGCGAGGGCTCCATGTCCGCCGCCGCCGACACGGGCGCCGCGTCGCCGCCCGTCGACGTGAACAGGCGCTTGATGCTCAGCGCCGTCGAGTAGGCGCCCGACAGGAACGTCGGGCTCAGCGCGCGCCCGCTCGCCCCCTCCTCCAGCGCGCCGCTCCGCGACATCGTCGGCGCGCGCGGGGCCTGCTCGACCGCCGCCGCGGCCGCCGCGGCCTCCGCGGCCACCTCGCGCAGGCGCTCCTTCTCCTCCAGCGCGCGCTCGATGGCCGCGGAGTCGCCCTCGAGGGCGTGGCGGCGCATGCGGAGCTCGCGCTGCTCCTGCGCGATGGCGCAGCAGAGGCAGAAGGAGTGCACGAGGCAGTCGCCGCAGGGCTCCTCGCGCAGGCGGTACTTGCGGCGGATCTCCGAGCGCGTCTCCGAGGTGCCGCAGAGCGCCGCGGCCGCGCAGCCGCCGAAGACGAGAAAGGGGAAGCCGACGCAGAAGCCCGCGACGCACCAGATCGCCGACTGCGAGCCCACCTCGACCTCCGAGGTGAGCAGGCGGCGGTTGCGCGCCACCAGCGAGCACGGCATGAACACCGCGCGCTTGCACACCTCCGGGTCGCCCGAACACTCGTACATGCCTGCGAGCCAGGGGGCGAGCACAGAGATTCACGCCCCGTCGCGCTGCAAGTCCACACGAACAAACGAACAAACAAACAAAACAACCCCCCCCCACACACACAGCGCGCGCTCGTTCCGTGACGCGGGCGCACCCGTCATCCAGCTCGCGTCCTCCTTGTCGATCTTGCGCGGGCTGTCCCCCGCCCCCTCCTCGGCGATGGTGAGGGCGGCGGGGCGCGCCTTCGAGTCCTCCAGGGCCACCTGCGACCGGCCGCGCGCCACCTCGTCCTGGAGCGACTTGACGACGGGAATCATCTTCGTCATCTGCACCGTCGCCTGCCGCCACGAGTCCGACGGCGCCTGCGTGGGCGGAGGGGGACGAGAGGGTTGGCGTCGGGCGCGGGGGCGGGGCGGCGGCGGCGGACGGGCGCGCGAGGAGACGGCGGCGCGCGCGCTGGGGCCGCAGGGCCGGGCGGGGGCGCACCGGCTGCGCCCTCGTGTCCACGGTGCTGTCGTCGGACGGCGCGCCCTTGCCGTTGCTCTCCTGCGCCGCCGCCCGCTCCGCCTCGGCCAGCGCCCACTTCTCGATCCCGAGCCGGTTCGCCTGCGTCGTGCGCCCCTGCGCCAGCCGCCAGTTGTCGTTCATCACACCCTGCGGCGAGAAAAGGGGGGAGTTGTGGCGCAGCGTGGGCGCGAGGGGCCGCGCGGCGCCGCGGGGAGGACGGCGAACGGTCAGATGCGCGCGGGGCGCTGGGGCCCGACGCAGCAACGGCGCGGGTTCAGCCGCACGGCGCGGGTCGTCTTCCTCGGCAAGCCTTGTGTGCGAAACGCGGCCGCTGGAGGGGGCGGCCGGGGCGTTGCGATCGCGCGGGCGCGCCGGCAGGAGCTGGTGCAGCGGCCACGGCCGCGCTGGACACGGCAGCGGCCGCGCGTGCGCTGGGTTCGCGGCAAGCACAGTGCAGCTGAGCGATGGCGGTGTGACGGCACCAGGCCGAGAATTTCGCGGTGGGGGGGCCGCCGTCGGCATGTCGGCGTGCGTGGCGTGGCGCACGGGCCGCGCGAGGCGCGGCGCGGGCGCGGGCTGCCCTGGCGCACGGCGAGACCAGGCAGAGCACGAAGCGCCGCTGCGGGCGGAGTTCTGGGCCGGTGTGTGGGCGGGTCGCGACGCATCCGCGCGCGTCGTAACACATCGACACGCGTCGCGGTCCCGCGTGGCGGCCTGTGTCCCTCGGCGCGGCGAGGGGGCGTGGCCCGATGCGCGCGGTTGCGTCGGCCGCTGCGCCCGCGCAGCCGCTCTCCGGGCGCCGCGCACGGCCGGTTTGCAGGGCCGCATACCTGGAGCTCCGGGCGAAGATCGTCCGGGATGTTCTCAGCCCGCACCACCGCGAGCGCAGGCAGGGGAACTGGCTCCTCGTCCCCAGCCCCCCCGCCCGCGCCGCCCGCGGGCGCGCCCTGCCCCTTGCCAGGCATGCCAGCACAGTCGGTGCCCCCCGTCCGCGGATGCGCGAGCTCCCTCTCACCCGCCTGCGCAGCGTTGGCAGGCCTTGCTCCCAGCACAGAGCACTCCGCCGATCCCCGCCGAACGCGCCGCGGGGCCGACAGTCACGCGCCCTCCAGACGCGCTGCGCGCATGTGCCGCGCGCCCGCGCGCGCCCGCGCCCCTCGTGCCGCCCCCACGGCGCCCCCCGCGCCCGCCGGAGGCCCCACTGCCCCCGTCGCACGCGCCCGCCCGGGCCCGTGCGCGGGCTGCGCGCCCTTCCGTGCCGCGCGCGCGCCGCCCCCGGCACATGCGCGGGCGATCGGCCACGACGAGGACCGCCGCGGTTCCCCGGCGCGCTCCGGAGAGCACGCTCCACACGCCGCGGCCCAACCAACCCCCGCCCACGCCTCGCGCAGCGAGCCTGCCGCGACCCGGGCCGCGGAACCCCCACCGCTGGATCTCGGGTCCCCAGGAGCGGCCGCGCGCGCCGCCACGCGGCCCCAGGGCCCCCACGGGCGCTGCGGGGACCCACCACGCGGAGCTGCTCCGCGCGCAGCGATGGACGCGAACGGCGGCTTCTCGCTCGGCGCGGGGCGCTCCTCCCGGCGGTCCCGGCGCGGCAAGGTCGGCGGGAGATCGGCTCCGCGCGCCGCGTTCAGCCCCGCGACGGGAGCCCCGCTGGGCACCCAGGTCGCGTTCGATGCGGTGGGCCCGGCGCCGGACGACGACGCCGCGGCGGGCGCGTTCGTCGGTGGACAGGCGACGTCACCGCGGGCGCAGGGGCCCCTGGGCGGCGCCGCGGGCGCCGCGGCGGCCTCGAACGGCGGTGCGTTTGAGGCGCAGGGCGCGGCCCCGGGCGCTGGCGCCGCGGGGGCGCGCGTGGGGCTCGGCCCGGGGGCGTGCGGCGCGAGACCTGCACAGGAGGGCCCGGTTCCGGCCGTTCCGCCGCCGGCGGAGCACGTGCCGCTGCCGACGAGCCTCCTGGGCGCCCACGAGACGGTGCGCGCCGAGGGCTCCGGCGCGGCGACCGCGAGCGGCGCGGACGGCGGCCCGGCGGATAGCTTGAGCAGGTGAGACCCCGGCGCGCGGGCGCCCGGGTCCGGGCGGTCCCGGTCTTTCGAGCTGCGCGCGCCCGTCACGTTGCGCTACGTTGCCATCACACAGCGCACCCCGCGCAACGGCCCGCGCCCCTTCTGGCGCCACCGCAGCGACGAGCGCACGGTTCGCGAGCCGGCGGGCCTCGCCGAGGAGTGCGCGTCGCCCCCCGGCTCCAGCATGGACTGGAGCGAGGGCCTGGACCCCGCGACGCCCCCGCGCGCGCCTGGAAACGAGGGCTGCGACACGCCGCGCTTCCCCGCGCCGTTCGCGATGGGCGACGGACCCGCGTTCACGCCGGGCAAGCCCTCGCCGTCCGCGCAGAAGGCGTCGAGGTGTGTCCCGCCGCCGCAACGCCCCGCGACCACGCAGCGCACCCGCACGCGCGGCGACACGCGTTCTCGCGCGGAGGCCCTCTGCGCGCAGGGCGAAGCCGCTGCGGCGCGGCGTGGCGGTGCCCGCGGGCGCCGCGGGGTCGACGTTGAAGTTCACCTTCGGCCCTGCGCCGGCCGGGGAGGGCGCAGCAGCGGCGGCGACGGGCGCGAGCGCGCACCCGCACAACCCGTTCGCGGGGTCGGCGTGGGCGCCGAGCGCGTTCGGCGGCGCCGGGGCCACGCAGGCGGCGAATCCGTTCGCCGCGGGGGGCGCGGTGCCGGACGCCGGCGCGCGTGTCGCACACGGCGGAGGCGGGGGGTCGCCCGCGGAGGCGACGCGGTCGCTGCTGTTCTCGATGGGGAAGGCGGCGGGGTCGCCGACGAAGCGCGGGCACCGGCGCAGGGCGGGGCACGGCCGCGGCGCCGGGGCGCGCGCGGGGGAGTCTCAGCCGGAGTCCCCCGGGGAGGAGAACCAGAACCGGGGCGGGGCGCTGGAGAACCCGTTCCAGGGGTGGCAGGAGAAGATCACGCAGGTGCAGTCCGACGCGGCGCAGCGCGCGCTCGAGGCCGGCAAGCGCGCCGCGGACAAGCAGCGCATCCAGGGCAACGACGCGTACAAGTCAGGTGCGCGTACAACCCCCCCCTCCCGAGACAACTTCCCCCTCCGGCCTCCGATGGTCGCTCGCGCGGCGTTCCGCGCCACGCTCGGCACACGCCCGCGCGAGTCAGCGGCGGTGCCGGTGTACACATGTGTGTGTGCAGGGAGGTACGCGGAGGCGATCGAGGCGTACAGCGCCGCGGCGGACGCCCTGCGCGAGCTCGTCGCGGGGCAGGAGCGCGGCGGGCAGACGCTGCAGGCGCACAGCCTCCAGCGCGAGCTCAGCTCCGTGCTGGGCAACCTGGGCGCGGCGCAGCTCATGGCGGGGCGGCCGTGGGCGTCGCTGGCGTCGACGCGCGCCGCGCTGGCGCTCGACGCGGGCAACCAGCGCCCGCGCGTGCGCGAGGGGACGTGTCTGCTCCGGCTCGGGCTGTTCCGGGAGGCGCGCGGGCTGCTGCAGGCGGCCATCCACGGCACGCCCGAGCGGCCCGCGGTGAGCGGGAAGGCGCTCGAGGAGGCGCTGGAGCGTCGCGGGGAGCTCGAGCAGGTCGAGGCGGCGGTCGAGGAGGTGCTGGACGCCGTGGCGGCGCGGCTGTCGCGCGAGGGGGCGCGCGCGGCGCGCGAGCCGCTCGCGCTGGCGGTGGATCGTCTGGAGGGCGCGGTGCACTTCGCGCCGCACTCCGAGGCCGCGGCGATCGGCCTGGCGCTCGGGCGCGTGCTCGTGGGGAAGCTCGAGCTCGCGGAGGGGGCCGCGAAGGGCCCGGTCGATGGGGGGGACTGTGCGCCCGAGGACGGGCAGGACGCGGAGGCGGCGTGGCGGATGCGGTCGTCGTGCGGCGCGGAGTGGCGCGCGGCGGTGCGCGCGGTGGTGCAGCTGCTGTCGGGGGACCTGGAGGCCGCGGCCGGGACGCTGGACCAGCTGCAGGCGGCTGGGGACCCCCCGCGGACGGAGACGGCGGAGCAGGCGCTCGCGGTGCGCGGCAGCGTGTGGGAGAAGGTGCGCGGCGCCCTGCGCGCACGTGCGTGCGCGGTTGCATGCGTGCGTGTGTGCTCGACGCCGACGACGGAGGCGCTCTGGCTCGCCTCGCGTGCGCGCGCAGGTGTGTCTGCCACGCGCGATGGTGCGCGACGCGGCGGCGGCGGTGCGCGAGGCGCTGGCGCTGAAGAAGGCCGGGAACGACAAGTTCGCGCACGGGAGGGCGGACGACGCGCTGGCGCTCTACACCCAGGCGCTGGGCAGCGGCGCGGCGTGCGCGCCCGTGACGGCGCCGCGGTTCGCCGCCGTGCTGCACAGCAACCGCGCGGCGTGCCACCAGAAGCTCGGGCGGAACGCCGAGGCGCTCGCGGACTGCTGTCGGGCGCTGGCGCTGGCGCCGGGGTACTCCAAGGCGCTGAGCCGGATGGCGTCGCTGCTGGGCGTCGTCGGGCGGCACGAGGACGCGGAGAAGTACCTGCGGAAGATGCTCGAGTGCGCGGACGTCAAGGCGAGCGCGGAGCGGCGGCGCGACGTGGAGGAGCGCATCGCGGCGGAACAGGGGCACGTGCGCGCGGTGGGGCACGGGGAGGAGGTGCCGGACCACTTCCAGATCCTCGGGCTCAAGACGACGTGCTCGAGCGACGTGCGTGCGCCCCCCTTCGCCCCGCGTGCCGCGTGCCGCGTGCTGCGCGGTGTCTGTGCGTGCAGCTGCGGGGGACGCTCGCCGACCGGCAGTTGCTGCGCGGGGGTGTCGTGCAGGAGGTGCGCAAGGCGTACAAGCAGCTGGCGCGCTCGATCCACCCGGACAAGGCGCTGGCGACGTGCGGCGGGCGGCTGGTGTCGGCGGGCGCGCTGGCGGGCGTGCTCGACCTGGGCGTGTGGGTGGACGGCGCGCCGCACGAGGAGGACGCGAAGGACCGCGCGGGGTGGCTTTTCAAGTGCGTGCAGGAGGCCGTGTCCACGCTGACCGACCCGCACAAGCGCACGGCGTACGAGGCCGAACGCGAGGTGCGCGCCGCCGGACGGCCACTGCGGCGGCCCGTGCCTGCCCGCTCCCGCACGCCTCGCTATGATGATTCCTTGAGCTCGGAGGACCTCCCGTGGGCGGAACCTGCGCGCCTTGCATGCACCCCAGCGGTGCGCGCGCCGTCTGGCTGCCCCCCGGCCACTGCCGGGACGTGGCGGCCTCGCGCGCGGGCGCGCGGCCCGGTGGGAGAGAAAAGGCGAATCTGAGCTACAGCGTGTGGGGCGCGCGGCCGTCAACGCCCCTGTGTGCGCTATATGTCCCTCGGCGCTCACCCCTCAACACTCACCCCCACCCTTCCGTTTGCCCGCGCAGACGGCGCAGCGGCGCAAGAAGTACTGGTCCGCGTCGGCGCGGAGCGGCGGCGTACGCCACGGAGGGTTCGGGCACGTGCCGCGGCACAGCAACCCCTTCTCGCACAACTTCTACGCCGGCTGGGGGGCGTACGACGAATACGACGACGGCTACGGCGACCCGTGGTGAGGCCATGCGCCCCCCGCGCGCACGGACGCGGACACGGACACGTCCGCGGCATGAGCACGCAGGCCACCGCACCTGAAGTGCACCGCGACCACGCCGTCGCGCGCGCCGTTGCTGTGCAGGGGGGACGCGGACGGGCACGAGTACTACACGGGGTACGCGGAGGACTACAGCAACATGAGGCGCGAGCAGCAGCAGCGCAACGGCGGCGGCGGCGGGTACGCGCGCGCGGGATCGTTCGGGGGCGCGCACAGGGCGCACGCTGGCGGACGCCACTACGGGCACGGAGGATACGCCTACAGGGGCGCGGGGGCGGGCGGTGCCGGACGCCGCTGACGAGCTCGTGGTCGCCCCCGGCGGTCGAGTTGTAACGAACCGCAACGGATCGTGCCTTGCACTGTCATCATATGATAAGTACACAGGTGGTCGCTTGATTCCGCGACGAGGGGGAGCAGAGGCGGCGGTCGCTGTTGGACGCTGTGCTCGCGGCGCAGACACGTGTGTCCGGAAGGTTGGTTGCGAGGCGCGGGCGCAGCACGTGGGGTGTGTTGGTGGGCCGGGGCTGCGGGTGCGAGGCGTCGCGTTGGTTCGGTATCACATGGATATCCAGCGGAGGGGCTGGGGCCGGTGCGGAGGAATATGCCGCGGCCGTGCGGAGACTGCGTCTTGCACGGAGCAGGGCGCTCTGTGCGATCCTGGGTGCGCAGGCGTGGGGCTGAAAGTCTGGGAAATAGGACGGTGGAGGTGATTGCGCGCGGGCCGGGGCGCGCGGCGGGGCGCGGCCGGCCGCGACCGCGCCGCAGCGGCCGCAGAGGGGCCCGGACCAGCTCTGGTGCTTGCTGGCTGGGCGCGCGTCGCGGGCGGGGCGCCGCGCGGACGGCGAGGCGTCCGCGGCGCGTGGAAGGCGGCCGCCGTGCTCGCTCGCGCCGATGTTCGGGGTGCGGCTGCCGCGGGGCGGCGAGGAGGGTGGTGCGTGCAGTGGGCGGGGCGGGGCGGGGCGGGGGGGGCGCAGTCACGGTGGCGCGGGCAGCACGACCGTCAAGCCGTTCTGCCTGGCCCACTCCGCGAGCGCCTCCTTCATCCAGGCGTGCCGGAGCATATCGGCTGCCTCCTGCACCGAGCACCACTTCCGTTTTCGCTCCCGACTCTCCGGCCAAACCGCCAGCTCCTCGTCGACATTCATTGCGTAAATATGCGCGATGCACCGACCCTTGTCCGCCTGCTGTCTCCGCTCCTGCTTCCCCGAGTGGAAGTGGAACACTCCGATGGGCTGCTCCCCCAGCTCGCCCCGCACCCCCGCCTCCTCCACCGTCTCCCGCTTCGCCGCCGTGCAGCTGTCCTCGTCCACCTCCCACCCGCCCTTGGGGAACACCCAGCCCTTCCCGCCCCGGGAGGTGATAACCATCACCTCCACCTGGTCCCCCTCGCCCCGCCGCAGCGGGATGCAGCCCGCCACCAGCCGCTCCCCCGTCTCCGCATACCGCTGGTTCTGCCGCCCCTGCCTGGCGAACTCCGGCACCGGCCCGCGCGCCATGTCGCGAGCATGTTCCGCCTTGCACCCTTGGGCGCGCTCCCCCTGCTCGGCCACGGCGGCACACGGCGGGTCGCGCGCGTGAGGCGCCATGCTCGAAAACACGCTCGCACTTGCGCGCGCGCCGCACGGATATCAGCGCACCTGCTTGGCCGTGCACGTCGAGAACGCCATCTCCTGGGCCGGCATGTCGCCGGCGCGGATCGCGTCGCCCATGCCCTGCCACCGCCCGTCTATCTACGCAATTCTAGGCGCCGGAGCGTCCACGGGCCGCAGGCCGCAGGCCCGGCACGCGCGCGACCGCCGCTCGGAACGCCCTGTGTCTGCTCTCGCGTCGCCCCACGATGCCCTGGGGGGCCGATGGCGCGTCGTGACGCCTTCTCTGCCCTCTCGCGCTGGGGCGCGACGCACGCGCCCGCCCGGCCCCATGGCCCGGCCCCCGGCGGCCCCCGTCTGCCGCGCTGACAGCAGGGCTCCGTCCCCGCCATCGACCGACCGCCGCAGCGAGGGCCACACCGCGGCGACGGACGCTCTCGGACCCCGCCCGCGACCTTCGCACCCCACGCACCGCCCGCGGGTCGCGACGGAAGGCCGGGCGAGCCGCCCGCTGCGCGGTCGCGGGGCTGTTGCGCCGCGCCGCGGCGGGTCCGCGCGGGATGCGGCGGCGTCGCAGCGCGCAGCGGGCCGCGCGCCGGTGCGAGCGCGCCCTGTCGGCGGCGGCGGCGCGGCGGCACCACACAGAGTAGTAATTGACCACCCGCGCACGAAACGAAATGCGGGTGTGCTATCGTCCTGATCAAGGCGGCAGCGTGCTAGGAGTACTCGCGCGAAATGCCATGTGAGCGTGCCATCATGTGCCAAGGGAAGGCTCTGACCTGCAATCAGTTAGAGTGAGTGGCGGGCGTCGTCAGCAACAACGCGGCGAGCCGCGCGAGTACTGGACGACGCCCGCCAGCCGACGCGCCGAAGTGCTGGTCCACGTCCTAGGCTGCTTGTACCAGGGGGTGTCGGCAGCCGGCTGGGTGACAGCGGTGACTGAGTCTGCGGCATTGTCCGCGTTGTGTGGCGACGCGCCGACGGCTACTCAGCTCTCCTCGTCATCGCCGTCCCCCGCGCGTGGCCTGTCATGCGAAAAGGGATCATACCTCGGTCTAGCGGCCACGGAATACGCGCATGGCCAACATGTCAACATCGGGGGGGTAACAGAGTGCGTCATGTGTGCGGGCATGGCTGGATAGTTCCGAGCCAGCTTCGCAGCGCCGGGATCATGTATGAGGGTGACGAGTTGCAGGGCGCCGGGCACGCCCTGTCAGCAGGTTGGCCAGTATGGTCTGCAAACTGCACGTGGCGACGCACGAGGTCAGCCAGGCCCGCCGGCGTGGCAGGGCCAAAATGCGGGCTCGGGTGCGTCCGGCAGGCGGCGCGGTGGATCGCCAGGACCTGTCGCATGCAGTAACCTCGATGCGTACGCATGTAGCGCATCATGGCCGACATCTTGGCTACGTAGCTGTCGCGGTCAGTCACCTCGCTGGACACGCGGATGTGTTCGGTGCGGACGATGTTGTAAAGGTGTCGTCGCAGCAGCGCACACGAAGCGTGGGGGTACTGTATGAGGTGAATGTTCTCAGGAAACAGACCGCGTTTGTCATAGTGCGAGATCAGGAGGAAGCCCTGATATTCGGGATGCGGACGCACGCGGAGGTCTAGGAAGGAGACACCGTCGAGCGGGTTCGCTGGGGCGTCAAATTCGACCTCAAGACAGGGGGGGTACATGTTATGTATACCAGAGATGAGATCTACGATCGACGACGGGGTTTCGGGGGGCGGGGTGGGGGGGCGGGGGTGGGTGTTGAAGTAGCGGTACAGTGCGTTCGCGAGAGAGAAATTGTCGTCGATGTAGCGCCTGGAATAACGGAAAGACCCCAAGACCTTCAGCCAAGCGACGTCGCCAGTGCTCAACCAGCGGTCGCGAAACTGGCAGAGGAACGCGAGCTCATGCCGGAACATGTAGCAGTTCGCGAGGTGGGGGGAGGCCGAGAGCCCCATGGGCACACCGCAGGTCTGGTGATATACGACGCCCCCGAACACCACGTAGGCGCGTTTGACGAGGATGTGCACGAGACCATGAAGTTGCTCGATGCTCGGTGCCCATTTCCCAACCATGCCGTCCGCGTCCGGCAGCTGCGCCACCCACCACCACGTCTCCCTCGCGTCAAACGCGGGTTGCAAGTCGATCAGGAGGTGTTGCCCTGGATGCAGTGCAAAAACAGCGTCGATGTGTTCGATGACGCAGTCGATGAGGCCGGTCCCGTGGTCCGCGCTCGTCTCGTGCCGGATGTGCGTGTAGAGCCGCTTGATGTCGGCGCCCAGCAGCAGAGGTGGTTGTTGAGCATGTATCGCTGAGCGTGGTGGGTTGTCATGTAGATACGCGGTCACCATGTCACGCATGCCGCGGCTGGAGTCCACCAAGAAGGGCGCGAAGCTGCTGCAGAGGTCCTCCGGGACGCCGTCGAAGATGGAGCTCCAGACCTCCACGAGGGTGGCGTGGCACATGAGCGCGCCGAGGGCCTTCGTCAGCAGCTGCGCTGCGGGGCGCGGGATGTCGCTCGAGCAGTCCGAGATGTACCGCACGTCCACCTTGGCCTTGTGAAGCTTCATCGTCCCGTAGTAGTGCGGTAGACCACCGCACTCGCGTTCGGTGCGTATTCCTGGTAGCTGCAGGTTGTCCAACATAGCCTCCGTCGTGTTAGCGACGTTCACCACGTGCCTGGCATGCGTGATGTTGGCATTTGCCGGCTCGTTGACAGCGAAAGCGTCGTTGCTGTGCAGGTCGTGCAGGAGGACCTCGATGTAGGCGCGCCGACACACGAAAACCAAATTCCCGGCGTTCTTGTCCATGGTCGTGATGGTGAGGCGTGTCGCGTCTCGCCGCAGAGCCACGCGATCGTCGGGCTGAATGTCCGCCAGCGGCGGGGGCCATGGAAGGCGGAACCCGGGTTGAAGAGCGGGTTGGAGTGCCGTTTGCGTAGCAGCAAGTATAGCATCAATGTACGGCATGCACGCTGCCGCGTCCATGTCGGCGGCCTTGCTGACGCGTTTCGTCCACCCGAGCAGCGGCTTCTGGTAGGCTTCAACGATGCTAGCTACGGTCGCGCTCGTGGCTTGGTGCAGCTCCGGGACGTGTCGGTGCTTGGCACCGCCGACGGCGAACAAACGGCGGTACGCGGTGCTCTGGATGCCCGCCGCAGCAGGGTCCAGCGTGCAGAGGTGCCGCACAGGCTCGCCGTCGATCTGCCAGTAGGGGTCCTCGAGCGTGAAGTGGCGTCGTAGGTCCGGTCCTTGGTGTTGCGCACAGTCGCACTGCGTCGCCATGATGTCGTACAGGCGACTGCGTGCAAACTTGGCAACTCCGCTGTGCGTGCACACCGAGCGCGACAGCGGTGGAAACCTGACCGAATAGCGCGGGGCCACCAGAAACAAGCCATCCATACCTTCGCGGATACGCTCAGGTAAGAGGTTGAGAAAGTCATCATTATTGACGAGGGTTTCGAGGGGGGCGAGGCTAGCCAGGGGGGTAGGGAAGTCGTGGATCATGAGGGTACGGCTCCCGAGGTCGATGTCTGCGACGGGAGGGTAGTGGTGGTTGATGGCGGCCTGCAAAACGGTGCGGGCACTGTCCAACATCTGCTGTGTGTAAAAGGGCTCGTCGAGACCCAGGTTAAGCGCATCGGGATGCATGTGCGACACGCAGTGATGGAGGGAGAAGAGGTATTTTCCGATGTTCGCTGCCGTGCAATGGTTCACC